GTATTTCCCATTTTTAGGGGTCACATCTGTCCTTAGCAACATCCACATCTTTGAGTAGTTTTCCTAGACCAAAACGCCCACATCCCAGCTCCTTTACCATTCCTAGTAACGGTCTTTTCCTTATCCCTTCTTTCTGATCTGAAGGTATAATTTTGCCTCCAATACCCTGAAATGGTATATCTAAAATATGGCTGCTTCATCATGGCCAAAGATACCACTTTATGAAAACATGAAAAATGCTATGAAATTATAAAATATTAAAATTATAAAAATATTAAAAATGAGAATAGCAAAACCAAAACAGGAAAGACACAAACGATGAAGTTATATATAAATAAAAAACTGCGGGCTAAAAATGAGGTTATAAAGGTTATAATAAAAAAAAGTTTGAATGTAAAATACATTAATTTTCAAAAATGAGAGGACAGGTATGATTGATTATTCTGTGGCTATTCCAGCCACTTACACAGTGAGATCCATTTCTTGGATATCCTTGAACTTGATACATCTTCTTTTCTTCAGGCAGATGAACTGGGCCCCTGCTATAACAGAGCAAGGAGCTGCTATCACTGGGCAGAGGGGGGATTATGGGAGGCTGCTCTGTAAAGTCATAGGACCGAGGAAGTGGAGGACGAGGTGGGACTACTTCCTCTTCCTAAAGATTGTAGAACAGTCACCTTATTTAGATAAGCAGATTGAATTAAGCATATCTAAATTCTTTGCAATGGTATATTAACTTAAATTTACTTTAAGATACTAAAAGGGACACTGCCAAGCCAAAAGTCTAATAATGAAAAGTAAAATCAAAAATTTTTATCATAGCCAATAATTGGAATTTAACATATAATTACATCTGATTCTTTCCCGTAACATATAGGTTAGCTTCACACTGAAGCTCAACATTGAAAGAGATTACTATTTAAAACTAATTACTGGGTTTCATTTTAAAACTAGAAGGAAAGAACTGATTTTAAAATCCTATTCTTATATATTCACAATTTATCTATTTATTTATTTGGTAGAGATGGGGTCTCGCTATATTGCAGTGATTTGATCATACATAGCTCATTGCACCCTTGAACTCCTGGGCTCAAGGGGCCCTCCTGGCTCAGCCTCCCAAGTAGCTGGGACCAACAGGAACACCATGTCTGGCTAATTTTTTAATGTTTTATAGAGATGGGGGTCTTGCTCTGTTTACCAGGCTGGTCTCAAACTCCTGGACTCAATACATCCTCCTGCCTTGGCCTCCAAAGGTGCTGGGATTACAGGCATGAGCCACTGTATCTGGCCCCCCAATTTTTAAGAGAAGAAAAGAAAAGTTATCTCTTTGACTGGCTTTTATACAAAATTCAAAATAATAGATTCTTTTGGTTAGGTTGACAGTATCTCTTTGTAGTTGTAATTTCTTTATGCTATGCATGACACACAGCCAACTTATCTATCAATCATCCTATAAATTTTACATAGTATAAGAAACAATGATAAGTATTCAAACATTACTTAGATTAGAAAAAGTATGACAATGTTAAAATTCTAACATAGATAAAAAGCAGAGATTCCATTTTTTTGCATTAAAAAGGGAAGAAAAATAATGTATTAGAAGCACCAAATTACTGATCCAATAAAATTTCAAGATTAAAACAATATCTGTTCAATATATTAAAAAAATATTTTTGTTATTAAGATTAGAGAAGACAATTACTTCTAGTTCATGTCTTAAGCATTAAAAGTAATTTATAATTAGAAAAACAATCCAAACTTACCTCACTTTTGTACTTAACTGTTGAGAAAGGCTTTGATCCTACCATACCTAGAAATATTAGAAAATGTAACTATATTAAACATATCTTTCTAATACTATAGAAAAAAGAACAATTTCTTTTGTTGTTTTGAAATGAAGTCTTGTCCTGTTGACCAAGTTGGAGTGTAGTGGTGTGATCTCGGCTCACTGCAACCTCC